GTCCATCCTTTGACTGAATCAACACTTTCATCATAGGAAAAACCTTCAGAGTAGGGAAGTGGGCAGTAACTGGGTGGAATACAGGTCAGTGGCTGGATCAGAGGTCAATGTATGGTGGGGAGGTCATGTAGATTCTGACTTTGGACATGTGTGGGAATTGAGGTTAAAAAATCACAAATATTAGAAAGTCTTAACTTTGTATAGACTTGAGGAGCAAGTTGCTTATGGAAAACAACTAGACAAATCAGGTTTTGAAATATTAGATTAATCACAAAGGCTCTGGTTGGGTGTAAAGACAAAATTCAGAAGTGAGTTTGGACATAAAAGACTGGAATTAAAAGGAAAACTAATTACAGTATGAGGATCAGAGCCAGGGATCAGGACAGTGGGCAAGATGGTAAAGAAATAGGGAAAGAGCAGATGATGAATTCACAGTGGCAGTGAGCAGAGAGAGGTGGGAAGCAATTCTTAAACAAGGAGGAGTATAGCATAGTAGACAGTATATGTAGACTTTGGAGACTGACAGTCTTAGATTATAGTACCATTCTGCCAATTATTGCTGGTACAAACAGAACCAAATTATTCACCTTATTATCTGTAATGTGGGACCAATAATATCTGCTTTATTTGGTTGTTGTGAGGATTAATTGAGATAAAGCATGGAAAGAACCTATACAAATTCTGCCATATAGCAGGTTCCAAATAAATAATGAAAAATATGTTTATTATTGGACGGATTATATAGGTAGAAGCAAAGGTGAAGAGTGAAAAATGATGAAAGCCAAGTAGGAAAACTGTGTGAGTGTTGAGCAGGGAGAAAGTGTGGGACAGTAGCTCCTAAGTGGCTTTCAATTATGTACCCTGAATGGCGGGGTGTGTGCAGAAATTAGATCATGCGTGAAGTAATGAAGTACTAACAACTTACTCATATTTTCAAGAATATAATATGAATCTTAAAAACCAGGGAAGCCCTGGTATTATAAGCTGTAAATGAGACTCATCTTGTTTCCCACAGGTGGTCAGTGTGACCGGAGACATTGTCAGATGTTGTAGGATTCATTGCGCTGAAGATCAAGAGAATTTTCCTATAAAGAGTTACAGGAAAAAGTGTAAAGAGGGTTGATTATACAACTTCAACCTTGTCTCAACCCATTCACCCTATCAGTTCTTTCTAATCAAAATGCAGATCATTCCATTATTAACTTTTTATGTCTTTACTCTGTGCCTTTGCATCTGCTATTTTCACTTCTTGATATTTCTCCCCCCTCCAAAACTCTACAGTGCTTCATTTTAGTTTAAATGGAACTGCCTTGGTGAAAACATTCTGGGCCCCCAGGGCAGAAAGAATTATTCTCTACCCTGGGCCCCTAGTACTCAATATTTTATTGTGATGCCGATTACATCATATTTTAATTCTCTGTTCCCTTCTCTGCCTCTTTTACTAGACAGTTCCACTGTCTACTTGTTGTGGTGTTTTCCTGGTAGGAGTCAAGGTGCGGGGGCTGGTGTGAGGGGAGGGCTGAGGGAGTGGGAGAATAAATCTAGCATTTTAAAGATGAGAAAGGTCTGTATATTACCAGAAGGGGAGCAGCAGTAGAAAGTGATCAGTCAAAGATAAGAAAAGAAAGGGATCCATTGACTGTACAGTGATCTAAAGCAGATACAAAAATGGGACCAGTAAAGAAAAATCATTGTTAGGAAGAGAGATAAATTGATCGACCATCTGTAAAAGGTATAGAAAATGACTCTGAAGAATCTGCTGGAATAAGAACAACGTGCTAGAAGAATTCTTAAAATGTTAATAAGATCAGGTTTCTCAACAGCTCAAAACCTTCCAATCCACTTAGAGTAAAAGCCCACATGATTACAGCTGCTTTAAAGGACATGGTAATATGCTCATCATCACCTCCCCCACCCCTTCCTTCTCCCACTTCATTTCTTCCTTCCATTTACCCTCCTCCAGCCACACTGGACTCCTTGCTGCTCCTCACACTGTACCTCACCTTAGGGTCTTTGCACTACCCATTCCCTTTGTGTGGAAAGCTTTTCCATCCAAAATCCAGATGGCTAATACCTTCTTCATGACTCTCCTGAATGAGGTTTATCTCAATCAGCTATTTAAAATATTAACTTGCCCCTACTCTGTGCCCTCCTGATTTTCTTTGACTAACTCTATTTTCTCCATTGAACTTATCAATTTCTACATTTATATCTTTATTGTATTTATTCAAAGTCTTGACAAGGGTTGTATTTACAGCTTCTATTCCTCCACTGGAATGCAGCTTCTTAAGATCAGAACTTTGGGGCTGTTTCTGTCTGTATTGTTCAGTGAACCATTCAAGCATCTAGAAAAATGCCTGTAACATAGCAGGCACTCGATGACTATTTATGAAAGAATGAAATCAATATACAGAAAAAGATGAGGTTTTGGAGAAACCTCCAAAAGAGGTTTTGGAGAGATGAGTTTCAGAAGAAATGAGATGTAAAGCAGATAGAGGGAGTGATCTTAGATAAGAAGTAAGGAAGAAATGAGAAGACATATGAGAAGATATGCATAATGATTTGGTTGTGGGAAGCTGAATGAATACACATCTCATAGTCTGATTTGTCTTTGTAAAATGAGGGGTGAGATTGTCTGCTGAGATTTGGAGCAAGGAGCAAGGTGGTGAATTGGAGAGCAGAGACATGAATCTTTGAGAAAAAGTGGAAAATGAGTTGATTTAAAACATTGTGGATAGCTAGACATTGTTTGTGACCCATTTGACCAAAATTTATGCTGATATCACCTGTCTTTTTTGTAATTTTTTTCTTCAACAAAATCTGGGCTCAGCTAGCTAGGTGCAGCTTTTAAAAGCCACCTATGAAGGAAGCAGATGAAGGAAGGTTAGGACATTCCTAACATGCATCTTTCTTATGGCTCTAACTCACTAGACTATAATGACTTACTTGTTTTATATCCTCAGAACCTTGAATGTGGACATCTGACTTTTTGATCTATATTTTCAATGTGCAGTGTGACACCAGGCCCCCCCAAACATATGCAAGAGATTGTTTTTCTTAACAATAAATGGTGCTATATCTGCATTCATAATTTGTTTACATTTTCTAACTCCTTTTTAACTTAAGGGAATTTAGATTTAGATAAGTTGAGGTTTGCTTCATTTTGTAAAGTCAGTAAGAGATAAATCAGGCACTAGCACTTATGTCTTTCAATCATTTGTCCCAGTGGTCTGAATTTTTTTAATGCTTTAGGACACTTTGAATATGGGGATGCCTTTTGTCCATGTTGAGTCTCTTATTATGTTACTCTTTTGTTTTTCTATCATTCCTGAAAACTCAGACATGAATGAGTGTATGTTCACATATACACATTCCTTCATAAAATTGCTATGTAATTGTTTGGGTTTAGGCTATGTGCTTCCACACTTCCTCACACTTGTTGGTCAAAAATGACTGGGCTAAAGAGATGTGCGAAAATTAATGAAATGATCATTCTGTTTAGTGGAGAAAGAAGTCAAATTTGAGTTCTATTTTACAGTGGCCATTATTCCAACTCATATGACCAACTGCTTTATTGTAGGTCTGGGAGTTTAGGCCATGAAGTACATGTAAATCAGAAATAATAACTAAACATTGAGGACATTCTACATTTTATCCTTCCTTCCCATTCTCTAATTCTGCATTTCCCTGTCCAGATCATCTCTGTTGGACTCCTTGAAAAGTAGATTAATTTTAGATTAACTTTATTTATAATAATGAGCTAACTTTTATTTCTATTTTTCTCTTTCTTCTCTCCTCACTTGTGAAGAAATTTTCAAAATTTCAATTCTCTCCTTAGATCATATCGTACCCTACCTAGCAAGCCCAGGATCCTTATGAGTTGCCAAATCACTGGACTCCCCACTTCCAAGGCAGTTCCTTAGATGCAACTTGTCTTTAAGCAATGTCCATAATAAGGAAGAGTTTCAAAGTCAAGGAATAGATGGCATTAATCAAGTAACACTTCTTGCAGTGAAATATTTTTGAATAAGATACAGATGAAAGCACAAATTAATTTGGGATAAAATATGAACTTTTATATACATATATAGTATGTATACAGGAGGAATACATATATTAGTTATTTATGTAATTATTAGTAATTTATACAATAGTAATAGGTGCATATATAACATTATTATTATTATCATCAGGAGTCATTGAAAAAGTTAAAATGTATTTAATTATTCTAAGAAGGTAAACATTCCTTTATTCAATTTTTTAAGCCATGGTCCTGAAAATAGACAGAGAATTGTTAACCACCTTTGCCATATTTTTCAAAAGAAAACAGAGCTGAAGAGTGGGCTAGAGTTGGACATTCTCATGGCCAGAGGGTCTTTCCCAGTTAATATTCTGCTTTTATTTTCTCCAGATCTTGAACTTCCCTGCTTCCCTACCTGGCTTCCTGAACCATCTTTGGCACTTATCCCAGTCATCATAACCTCCTGCCCATATAGCTGCCCCCAAAATCTGGACATGTGCAAATAAGGCAAGTATTTCCTTCTAGTACCACTGAAGACCTCTTTCTGACACAGATCCAGAGGCCTGAGCCCTGAACCCTGAACCTGACCTCATGATCCTGGGTTAAGATTCTTTTAAAAATCAATGACAGTTGACATACAATATAAGGGTGGGGAAAAGGAAATTTACAGGCATTCCTATGGGAATTAATGTAATAATTAAGAAATAATAATGCAAGAATAAACTCCGTGTTTTGTGTACTCACAACTGAACACCATTTTTGTTCCACTCTGCACATTAGTTTCAGGTATACAACATAGTCATTCTTAACTTCCTGTGTGTGGTGGGTTTTGTTTTTTAGTTCCTGTTTTGACCCTTGATTTTCCAGAGAGGACCTTATGCCCTCTTGTGACTGCAAAGTCATACTATAGGACTAGATTATGGCACTAGGGTTTAACTTAATGATAAAATTCCTGTTGCCTAATGGCTCCTTGTAGCTAATGTTGATCTCACTCTTCAATTTGGTGCTACTACCATTAAGTACTTTGTATTTTGGTGTCCTAACCATGTGGAAGAAAAATATCACTCATATTGGTGAGTTCATCCTGGTGGGTTTCCCTGCTCCCCCTTGGCTTCGGGAGTTGCTCTTCTTCTTCTTCCTCATCACCTACCTGTTTGTGCTGTTGGAGAATTTAGTCATCATTATCACTGTGTGGGTCACTGGATCCCTGCACAAGCCCATGTACTATTTCCTGGGCACCATGTCCTTTCTGGAGACCTGGTATATATCTGTCACAGTTCCCAAGATGTTGGCTGGATTCCTACTTTGCCCCAATACAATCTCCTTCCTGGGGTGCATGATCCAGCTCTATTTCTTCCTCTCACTTGCGTGTACTGAATGTGTGCTGTTGGCTGCCATGGCCTATGACCGCTATGTGGCTATATGTTGGCCTCTTCGATATCCACTCATGATGACCACTGAATTTTGTGTTCAGCTGACCATCGGTTCTTGGGTAAGTGGCTTCACCATTTCCATGGTAAAGGTATACTTCATCTCCCAAGTTGCCTTCTGTGGCAATAATATCATGAACCATTTTTTCTGTGATGTATCTCCCATCCTCAAACTGGCCTGCATGGACTTTTCTATGGCGGAGACAGTAGACTTTGCACTAGCCATCGTCATCCTTCTCTTTCCTCTCTCAGCCACTGTCATTTCTTATGCCTTCATTGTATCTACCATCCTGCACATTCCCTCAGCCACTGGGCAGCAGAAGGCCTTCTCCACCTGTGCCTCGCATCTTACAGTGGTGGTCATCTTCTACACAGCTGCGATCTTCATATATGTTCGACCTCGGGCCATTGCTTCATTTGACTATAATAAATTAATTTCAGTCATATATGCGGTCTTCACTCCCATGCTCAACCCTATCATCTACTGCCTGAGGAACAAGGAGGTCAAAGATGCCATCAGGAAAACCATGGCAAGTGGTAGAGTTATTTTCTTGACAGATTCTCTTTGCTGAAGAAACAGCCATTCCTGTCTTTCAATCATTTGACTGAACTTCAAAAAACTCCTTCATTTGTTGAAAGTCTGCTTATAAAAATTCTGACATAATAAAATAATTTAAGGAAAAGTAGCCAGATACCAAAAAAATCCTCTTTTCTTTTAGGCCTTGTTTTGTCTTTCTTTTTATAGCACAGTGAGTAGAATAATCAGAACTTTAAGAGACATATGAGGGAGGACCAAAAAAACTCCCCGAAAAACCCAAGACAGAATTATCTCTAGAGTGAAAGCCCTTTGTCATACAGGTTTCACCTCCTAGGTGAGAATTCTAGGAACCAATCTGTATTAGTGTATGAGCTGACATTGTTGTGAGAGGCTACATGAATTTTTTGAAGAGTCTTTCAACACATTTGCTCATTTTGTGATGGGTGATTTGTGAGTGCACCTGCCCACACCATGCTGAGTATTCACTTTTTGACTTAAAATGGCTTGACCATTGTGTCCTACCCTCCCTATTGTCACTGCAACAACTTTTTTTTTGTTTCCCTGGAGGTGGAAGTGATGAAACAAAAAATGTCAAAAGTACTAAAAGGCTTTGAAATCAATGAGTTCAAAAACTGCTTAGAGCAGTGGGAAAAACACCTAAATAGATGTATTGCAAAAAATGGAGAGTACTTCAAAGGTCTCTGAGGTTAAATCATGTCAACCTAAATACACAATGTTTTACAAATAAATTCTAGGTTTCTTTGGGTTCTCCTTTCTATATTGCTAAGAGGTGAAAAATAATTTATTCCTTAATGAAGATTTTATTAAGACATATCACTTATTATCCAACTAGTTTTTAAGAGTTCTATTTGTGAGATTTCAATTTGATTTTGTTTTGTTTTCAAATTCCTCTGTGTCCAAGAGAACATAGAAAGTTGACTTCATGGCTACAGTCTGTTTATTGCTTCCCTGGGTGTTAGAGAATTGGTCCCTTTTATAATCAATGGACTTTGTTGATATCTCATTTTAATTATTTTTTTAAATATAGGAAAATATGAGAGATAAACTTCTTTGCAGTCTTCTTTATGCATGACTTGTCATGGTAAAAAAGAAAAAACATGTATATTTGTGTGTGTATATATATATATGTCTCTCTATATAATTATATATAATGTATACATAGAATTTAAAGTTCCAACACAAGAAGGAAGATGAAACATGAAATCATGTATGTTTATACATATAACAATATATATAAAAGTTTATGCTTTCATTCTTTTTCTTTGTTGAGATTTCTATATCCATAATTTCTTTTTTGGATACAATAGTCAGAGGATGGACCCTAAGCAAAGCTAGTGGCAATACATTAATGCCTGTTCCTTTTTAGGTAAAGAGACAAAATACGTGTTCTTGGATGGTACTTAACTTGAATGTATAGGATTTTCCCAGGTTTCCCAGAAGGTCCTCCTTCTCATTTGTTTTTATTTTAGTTTGGAAAGGTGATGCAATATCCTAAGAAGTAGTATGCTTTCCTTTAAGCATTATAAAATGATAGATGAGAGATGGATTCTGTCTGGCTCAGCAACAATACTGGATGAATCAGTTAAAGAAATGTGGCTTGCCAAGAGTTCAAAGATAACAGACATATTCATTTACCCCAACACTTTGGAAAACACATTTCATAAAGTTTAACTGGGTTCTTGATTTATATACCCTAATTTCTTTGTTTTGATTTCATTTGTCTTATACATGTCTTTTCACTTTTTTAAAAAAATATTTTATTTATTTATCTTTAGAGAGGAAGGGAAGGAGAGAAGTAGAGAAATATCAATGTATGGTTGCCTCTCATGAATGCCCTGCTGGGAACTGGCCTGCAATCTAGGCATGTGCCCTGACTGGGACTCAAACTGCGATCGTGTGGTTTGCAGGACTGTGTTCAATCCACTGAGCTACACCAGCCAGGGCATAGAAATTTTGTTTTATTATTTTTTAAAAGATTTTATTTATTTTTAGAAAGAGGGGAATGGAAGGAGAAAGAGAGTTAGAGAAACATCAGTGTGTGGTTGCCTCTCGTGTGGTCCCCACTGGGGATCTGGCCTGCAACCCAGGCATGTGCCCTGACTGGGAATTGAACCAGCGACCCTTTGGTTCACAGCCCGCACTCAATCCACTGAGCTACACCAGCCAGGGCTACATGTCTTTTCACTTTGTATTAAGTTCTTATGTAAGCCAGATAAGGTGGCCTTAATTTGGTTTTGTGTAGATTAAGATAATTTACAAACTGGTACTTTCCAATTTATCTAAACCTATTGTATATTCTCCCGTCCTTCACTACTTTTAGCCTAAACATTGTATGTTCCTAATGATATGTACCATTTTTCTTTAGTCAAAATGTACTGCTATGGATCATGACTCACATAGACACTGGAAGTAATAGATATGCTTTACCTTGAATCATATGTCTTATCTCAATGCTAGAATTTTCTAGTCTTTTTGTAAAAAATAGTGTTATACAGTATGTATATATGCTTAAAAACCTTAATTAACCATTAACAAATAGTTATTACTATTTTAAAATTTTGTAAGATTAGTTTTAGTCTTAAAATTCTTTTTCTTTATAGCAAAAAATAAATAAAAAAATGAACACAGAAAATAGTGCAGTGATTGCAAGAGGGGTGGTGGATGGAGGTGGAAGAGTGTGTGGGGGATAAATGGTAATGGGAAAAATACAATAATAATTAAAAAAATTTTTAAATGCTCTTTAAGTTTAGTTAAGCTGTCTTGTGATCATTATAATTATAATTTAACTACCATCTGTATTAACTACCACCTGACATTATTTTTCTGGTCTAAATCACCTGATAAAGTTTTCTATATAGCCATTAGATCATTTGTTATACAAATCCTCTCTGTCCCTACTAATCTTTTATTTTACTTGATCAACTGGATTTCTGAGAGAGCTATTTTGTTGTTTCTATAACACTACCCTTTCTCCCTTTATTGTTATAGATTTCTTTCATATGTCTTTATGTTAATATTTAAAATATTTTACTCTTAAATGTTTTTTAAAATGCAGAAAAGTAGAAAAAAGAGTATAAGTGACAACTCTGTCTACAACTCTGCTTTGGTTGCAAGTTTCATGGGGAGCCTTCGATTTCAAGGGAAAGTTTACACCTGAGAAAAAAGAGGCATGCACATGCTCCTGACAGTGTGTGCTGGTTCCTTTGTCTTGAGGCTTTTTAAACCCTCTTTTGTGGGTGGGAACCCCAGAAAATGTCTCAGGGGAGGGTTTCAGCAGATTATTCATCAGCTTTCCAAGTGTGTTCTTTAATATGCAGATACACCAAAATGAGCAAACACATAGGAGATCAGGGTCATTTTTTGGTCAGCTTTACCTCTATCTTCGATTTGTTTGGTTCTTGGATGTTTTGTTATTTTTTTCCCTGACTACATTTGTCCTTAGGTTTGGCTGACACTAATGGCACTAAGTGAGTTTCTGTTATCTATCTCCCTGACCATGGTGGTATAAGCTATTTATTCTCTGGTTAGGGAGGAGAGGTGTAAACCATTTGCTCTCTAGAGTCCTTGGTTAGGGAAGACAAGGTTTGTGAGTCACTAGATAGGTATAAATAGCTTGAGTTTTTTGGCCCTATTTGTCTAACCATCTGTGTCAGTTTCCCCTCTTCTCACTTGTCAAAAATTCTCCTGATATCTACCTCTCCTGCCTCATTATGCCCATCTAAAAGGTCACCTTCCACATCTTCTTCACTTGCCAATAAGTAACAAGGAAGTCATATCACATAATTGGAATGATCTTTGATTTATATAAAAATAATATAACTGAACTTTTCTTACCAAACAGAGTAGGAAGCACAGATACTGACATAATTTTTAAGTGAATCACAGATACTGACGTAATTTTTAAGTGAAGCACAGATACTGACATAATTTTTAAATGAAAACACTAGCCTCTGACTGGATGCCAGGCTGTATCAATGACTGTGCAGCACTTAGGTAACATCAAGTGAGAAACTAATAAGCTGAGGAAGCCACCATATTCTGGGAACCACCCACGTTTTCTAAAGCAAATAGTTGTTTAGTTTTTGAAGAAAATAAGCTTTATTTATGGCACAAGTTGTATGACTGCAACGTTGTACTGGGTCTACTCATATGACATTGATTTCAGTAGCATAATTTGAGTTTATCTATTAGAGAAATATCTAATTGATTAACTACATATTTATTGAGAACTCTTGTAGATGCTGAATATATATGGCAATAAATGAAGTTCAAAACTCCTATCCCCTTAGACTTATATTTCAGAGGAAGGTGATATAAATAAATGAGTAAGCAAACACATAATATATCTGATGGTAATAAGTGCTATGAGAAAACAGAAGCAAGGGAAGGCAGGTTGCACTTTTAAGCAGGAGTTCAGGAAAGGCATTTCTAGGAAGGTGACATGTTGCTTTAAGAAGACATCTTACATCTTAGAGAAATGAATGTTTATCTTGTGACAAGAAAGTTGAAAAGAAAGAACCAACCTGGGAGACATTTGGGGAAAGAGGGTTCAGGCAGAGAGAACAGAATCTAAATGGTTTGGATGGGAATGAGTTTTCTGAGGATCAGGACAGAACAAGGTTAGAGTATTTGGAGGCTGATGAGAGACAGGGAGAGTGGTGAGAAATGAGATCATAAAAGTAGGCAGAGGCCAAAGTGTTAGTGTTTGGTAGGATATACGACAAACCAACGCAGGGAGGAGGAGGGAGACATGTCCCAGCCATTGACCCAGCAGTCCTGAGCCCAAAGTCACCAAGATTTGTGTTCTTATTATTTGAGGGAGGAATGTGACATAGCAGCTAGGAATGAGTAACCAGAAGGGAAATAAAGGCAGGTCCCTCACCACTGCAATCTAACAAAGAACTGAATACAGGAGGCTAAAAGACATGTCTCGAGAGGGAAGATGGCGTCGGAGTAAGAGGGAGCGGATTCTAGCTCCCGCACTCGTGGGTGAAAATCCTGGCAGATCTATAG